CTCTCCTCAAGGACCGGCCATAACTCCGCCCCTCCGCCCTGGCTGGTCCTGACTCCACCCACCGAGTGACGCAGCGCGGCGGAGCGAGAACTCTGCTCAATATAGATTAGTTTGTTAGATAGATAGATAGATAGATAGATAGATAGATAGATAGATAGATAGATAGATAGATAGATAGATAGATAGATAGATAGATAGACAGACAGACAGACAGATAGATAGATAGATAGATAGACGTCATTATTACATTGTTATAGTTGTAAGTACACTTATTTGACTTGCAGCCTATATGCAGCAGAGCTCAGGCTGGGAGAGGGAGAACCAGCACGCTGATAGGAGAGAGCAGAGTGAGACAGATGAGCGCATCATGGCGCTGCTTCTCCTTCGGCTGGATTCGCATTGTCGTGTACATGCAGCAAGTGCATATAACAAGTGTGAATAGGGCATTGCTGTCTGGTTACAGGTTTGGGCGGTGACCTGTAAGTGAAACTGCAGCTATGTGGCAGAGCTGTGTGAATCTTAGGACAGGACGGACACATAAAACGTTCATTGTCCACGTTAATAAAGTTGGGGTTCTGCACTCCCTGTAAGATCCTTTGAGGGACACCAGAAGGCATTCGACTTTGGGTAATACTGCCACCGTCAGGAGGAGAGGACCCGGCCAACAAAACTGCAGGCCAGACCAGGATAAGCTCTCTCCTTCTACCAGCATGCCTCCATTGTGTAGCATGTAGTATTGAGAGCATGATGATAGAGGGAAGGGACCTGCGTCTCCCAATGGACTCCGCCATGACGGCAAGTAGAAATCCATTGAGGGACCCAGGGTAGGACCCGCTCGTTGGGACCATAGGTTTGGATGAAGGTCTCTTTGAGCCACATAGAGCTGGTGGAAGGAGAAGCTGGAGCACCCTTGTGGAAGCCACCCGGGATGACACAAAGTCTCCTAGAGATGGCTGAAGGAGAAGCTGGAGCACCCTTATGGAAGCCACCTGAGATGACACAAAGTCGCCTAGAGATGGCGGAAGGAGAAGCTGGAGCACCCTTATGGAAGCCATCTGAGATGACACAAAGTCGCCTAGAGATGGCGGAAGGAGAAGCTGGAGCACCCTTACGGAAGCCACCTAAGATGACACAAAGTCTCCTTGAGATGGAGGAAGGAGAAGCTGGAGCACCCTTATGGAAGCCACCTGAGATGACACAAAGTCGCCTAGAGATGGCGGAAGGAGAAGCTGGAACACCCTTATGGAAGCCACATGAGATGGCACAAAGTAACCTAGAGATGGTGGAAGGAGAAGCTGGAACACCCTTATAGAAGCCACCTGAGATGGCACAAAGTAACCTAGAGATGGAGGAAGGAGAAGCTGGAGCACCCTTATGGAAGCCACCTGAGATGACACAAAGTCTCCTAGAGACGGAGGAAGGAGAAGCCGGGATACCCTTATGGAAGCCACCTGAGATGACACAAAGTAACCTAGAGATGGAGGAAGAAGAAGCTGGAGCACCCTTATGGAAGCCACCTGAGATGAGACAAAGGGAAGCAGTGTCTGAGATGTGGACTCTCAGACCAAACCACATCCAATGAAGGGGTATTTCCTTGTGGTGAACTTTAGCCAGACACAGGGATGGAAGAACGAGGTCCTGGTTGAGGTAGAAGGCAGATATTGCCTCAGGCAAGAAGGAAGTCCTGGGCCTCAACACCAACACAACCCTATGTAAAACCAGAAAAGGTTCCCATTAGGATAAGGCCACCAGTTCTTGCCTTGCAGAGGTGAGGCCTACAAGGAACACCACCTTGCGGGTAACAGTGGAGAGAGGAATGTATCTGGTAGGTTCAGATGGTGGTTTCTGAAGAGCAGAAAGAACTAGATGCAGATCCTACAGCGTCATGGGGGAACAAACAGAGGGAGACTACCTGTACTAAGGTCTCCAGAGGATCACTGGAATGATCCTGCAAAGCAGATGAGGATGATGTTTCAAGAGAGGAAGGGCACAGATCATAGTGTACTGAGCCATCCACCACCTGGAGCAGGGGCAGGCCAACTTCAGCCCTACAGCTGTACTAAAATACAAATTCCATTATGCAGCTGCCTCTGAAAGCCATGGCTGTGGGAGTCTTGCAATGGCTCACGGGAATTGTAGTTTCATCACAGCTGGAGGGCCAAAGATCTGATCTAGAGGACCCCTGTACCTGGAGAGAAACCTCTCCAGTCATTTGTTAGACCTGGAGGCCAGGACGTCCACATCTGGCATCTAAGACACCTCCAGGTGAAGGGACCACACCCCCAGGTCCAGGCATTGGCGGCTGAAGAAGTCTGCCAACTGTCCATGACTGGGATGTACAAGGGTGGAATGTCCATAGCAGCAGTTTTTGGATGGGACCATATAAAAACTAGGCTGAGGCTGGCCAGCCCCGCAATGTCCAGACCAGCAGTTTCTGGATGGGTCCATCCAAACACTAGGCCGAGGCTGGCCAGCCGCGCAATGTCCAGACTAGCAGTTTCTGGATGCAACCATCCAAAAACTAGGCTAAGGCTGGCCAGCCCCACAATGTCCAGACCAGCAGTTTCTGGATGCGACCTTCCAAAAACTAGGCTGAAGCTGGCTAGCCCCCCAATGTCCATAGCAGAAGTTTCTGGATGGGACCATATAAAAACTAGGCTGAAGCTGGCTAGCCCCGCAATGTTCAGACCAGCAGTTTCTGGATGCCACTATCCAAAAACTAGCCTGAGGCTGGCCAGCCCGGCAATGTCCATAGCAGCAGTTTCTGGATGGGACCATATAAAAACTAGGCTGAGGCTGGCCAGCCCCGCAATGTTCAGACCAGCAGTTTCTGGATGCCACGATCCAAAAACTAGCCTGAGGCTGGCCAGCCCGGCAATGTCCAGACTAGCAGTCTCTGGACACAACCATCCAAAAACTAGGCTGAGGCTTGCCAGCCCCGCAACGTTCAGACCAGCAGTTTCTAGATGCAACCCTCCAAAAACTAGGCTGAGGCAGGCCTCGCCAGATGGCTGCATTAGAAGAGACCAGCTCTAGCAGCAACCATGAATGAATGAAGAGTCTGGAGAAAAGAGAACACATGTGCCAGAAAAATTAGGTTCCTCTCTTACACAGAAGGGCTGAAGAAAAACATCCATCCTCCGAGGACACCAGCAAATAATTTAGGTATGCAGGTAGTGGAAGGGGTTATACCTCGGGCTGGCCTAGTTTTTTGTTTGCCAGTGTCCAATCCTCCTGTAGGTGTTAGAAGAACCTAAAGGTGAGTGACTTCCGGATTATTTCACTCACTACCCTGATAAGATTGCAACAGGTTATCCTGGAGGATTCCGATAGTCCTTCACCCTTGCATATTGGTAAATGAGGCCCATTTATTGTTTCATGGTACAAAAAAAACCCAAAAAAGCTTCAAAATTGTGGGGCAAAAAACAATGTTGACAAGAAAAACCCATCACCACCTTCCTTTCAGACCTCCAGTACAAATTGAATGGAGTGTTTGGTTTTTCAGAGGCCTAAAACTGTTGCCAATGGCAGAAAAAAAAGTAATGTCTTAGCCATGAAGGTCAGATCTCCCAAATTTGATGATTTCTTGTAGATGCTGGAGTTACACCATATTGCCAAACGGTTGTGGACACCTACCTATCACATGTTGGACCTCCCACTCCAAAACCGTGGTCATTAATATGGCGTTTGACCCCCTTTGCTTCTAGAACAGCTTCCAGTCTTTCACAAAGGTTTTCCACAAGAGTGTGCCTGAGGGAATTTGTGCCCAATTTAGCCAGAAGCACATTTATGAGGTCAGGTATTGATAGTGGATGAGAAGACCTGGCTCGGAATTGGGGTTCCAATTCATCCCAAAGGTGTTCAGTAGGGATGGTTCTGTGCAGGACACTCAAGTTCCTCAACACCAAACTGGACACACCATGTCTTTATGGAGCTGGCTCTGTCCACAGTGGACAGTCATGGTGGATCAGAAAAGGGTCTTCACCCTACTGGTCAACCCATGTCTTTATGGAGCTGGCTTTGAACACAGGGGACAGTCATGGTGGAACAGAAAAGGGTCTTCACCAAACTGTTAACGCGAGGATGGAAGAGCTCAAGTGTCCACAATGTCTTTGTACGATGTATAATTACCAGAACCCTTCACTGGAGACACCTGAACTTTACCATGGTGGAACCGAAAAGGGCCAAACTGTTACCACAAGGCTGGAAGTGAACCATTGTCTACAATGTCTTTATGTAATGGAGTATGAACGGAACCCTTCACTGGAGACACCTGAAGTCCACCTTTATTGAACCAAAAGGGGCCAAACTGTTACGACAAGGCTGGAAGAGAACCATTGTCTACAATGTCTTTATGTAATGGAGTATGAACAGAATCCGTCACTGGAGACACCTGAAGTCCACCATTGTGGAACCAAAATGGGGCTTCACCAAACTGTTACCACAAGGCTGGAAGAGCTCAAGTGTCTACAATGTCTTTATGTAATGGAGTATGAGCAGATGGGATCCACATACCTTTGGCCATATAGTGCATCTCTCAATAAGAATAGGGTGGTGAGATCTCCACCTTTGATTTTCCATATCAGCCCCCATGCCAAAATATTACAAACTGGTCCAGCTCTCCCAGCTGAATTTTGTTTTTTATTTGCTTTACATTATGGAGAATCAGGAGGAGAAGGAACACACCAAGATGAAGGAACACCCAACATTCAAGGCAGAGACTTGCTGAGCCAGAAGATGACCCACATAACCCACCATGACTTCTGGTGTGCAGTGAGCTTTTGGTCAATTTTAAAGCCAATATTTGCTTGTTAAAGCTTCTGCACATGGTATGTTCACATTTTGGTAACCCTTCACGACATAGCTGGACGTAAAACGGAAACAAGGATCAACTCTACGTATAAAACGGTTACAGTCTACCTAGGCTGAGATATCCTCCGTCCTATATTACATACTGGTCTTCTCAAATGCAATGAGATGGACATGTCTGGAATGTCCACTTCTCGTGAACGAGTTGGTCAACATTCAAACTTTCCTTCCCGCCCCTCAAACACAATGAGATGGACACTTGCTAACTGGAACGTCCACCTCTTGTGAACGAGTTGTTCAACATTCAAACTTTCCTTACCGCCCCTCAAACACAATGAGATGGACACTCGTCAACTGGAACGTCCACCTCTTGTGAACAAGTTGGTCATAATGCAAACTTTATTTCCCGCCCCTCAAACACAAGATCTCAAGCCTCTCAAGATTTGGCTTCAATTTCTTGGGTTGCCAAAACTCAACAACACCCCGGTGTATGGATGGTTAACCGTAGTACAGTGGATTACGAGAAGAAACCTCAACTCAGGTATCTCCTGCTGTGATCAAACCAATGTCCATCTCCGGCCAGCGCCCTCCGGTGGCACCTATTTGCCGAAAACAATTTAACAAGACGCAGTGGGCGCCCATGCAATGACTTTTACCGAATTGTACCAAAGAGGAAAATGCTTTAATAACCAGTTCAAGTCTTTTTTTAAGCGTGGTTAGTACAGTTAATAAGGCCATCTCCGTCGTCCGCCCGGATCTTCTCCGCAGGCGCTGACAAGGATCAGTCGGGTAAACCTAGTTCTCTAGTGGTCTGCCATGCTTCGCTCAGGAACCCGGCCCACCACTCCCCATACAGCGCTCCTGGCCAATCGAAACGGGAGGTTGCCCCCTACTCCGAGTCCAAGTGCCGACCGTCCGGGGAGGCCGAGGTCACATGATGGAGCACTGCTCTCCACTCGCGTTGCTGGAGTTCAGGTTCATTCCGTCAAGATCGAAGTTCAGTCCGGGAGGCTGGGGATGGAAGAGAGAAAAGTCAATGAAAATTGTTTTTTTTACCAAAATTCTACCCGTTTCCGGACACAAAAAATGTAAAAAATTGCGTCCAGAGCTCCACCTTAGTCTTCAGCTTGACAGAAGAGACGTTTGCTGGCTCCGGGCAGCGCGGATGGAAATCAATCTAGACGTGTCCCCCCCCCTCCCCGGCAGAGTTTGTAAACAGGTCGTGCGAGGAAGACTCGCGGCCAAATAGCCAAAAGTGGTCACAAGATTGCAGACGTCTCGGTGACACAGAGCAGAGTCACGGGCCTCAAATAGAAACTGGAGGAGTGGGAGGGATCTGTCTCTGTTGCTTGCTTTCTCTAATTGTGTGTTTTGTCTAGGAGCCTCTGGACTGCTGTGGATAATGATGATGCTGGATAGCAGGGGGGTCTGCCGAGAGGAGTCACAAGTGTTTCTTGCTGTGTTTTATCTAGGAGCTTCTGGATTCTAGTGGTTAGTGGAGTGGCTGGATAGCAGGGTGTCTGCTGAGAGGAGTCACAACTGTCTCTGTTACTTGCTTTTCTACAACTGTGCATTTTATCTAGGGGGCCTCCGGTCTCCTGTGGTTAATGGAGAGGCTGGGTAGCAAAGATGTCTACGAGAGGAGTCACAAGTGTCCCTGTTGCTCCTTTTTCTATAATTGTGTCATATCTAAGAGCCTCTGGACTCTTTCCAGATTTAGTATTAGGACTGAAATGGACAATAGCCTATTGAGAGCAATCACAAGTTCTTTGCTACTCAACCTGTTGCCGGCTGTACTACGCACATATGTGGCAGCATGGTGCTGGGCTTTGACGGCATGCTGCTGCATATGTGCGCAGACCCAGAGTCACTGTGTGTACTGGGCAGCAGCTCCAGCACGGTGTCACCAACAGTTCCTGGTCATTTACAATCAGTAGCCGGTAGGACTCCCGATCACATGATCACCACACCAGTGATCAAGTGATCAGAAGGCCTGGGCACCCAGCACTGTATGAGGGACGAAGGGGCACGTCCCATATCCGCCCCCAAAGTCATCTACCTGCATGGCCAATCACATCCAAACATCCAATCAGTAGGCGGAGCTCTGGGCTCCCACATCTGCATAATGGAATCTGATTGGTGGAGGTAGTCTGAGGCCCCACAGCAAGATCTGGATGAAATGACCTCCTCAGTAGGCATCTCAAGGACAAATGTTCTCCATTGTACCTTCAACACACATCAACTTACAGAATCTCCAGCCAGTTCTTTAGGCGGGTGTCCCAATTCTTGAAGCTGCAAAATAAGAAATAAAATAAAGAACCACACAAAGCAAAACCATCAAGACTCCACCTGTTACCGAGATATCACCTTGGAGTGGACGGGACCTTTATAAGAATCACCACTGAAAACTGTTGGACTGGCCTCCTACCTGCTGCATGAGATCCATGACCGCCTCGAACCGGGCCGCCTCTTCGCCCGGCTGCTCGGACTCGAATTTCTGGCAGATCCTGCTCATGAGGTTGTGCTGCTCCTGGTACTTGTGGTATTCCTCGGGGGGCAGAGACTCCCGGTTCGTCTGCAGCCACTCTGGGTACTGCGCGGGAGGAGAAGACATGGCCATGAGAAGGGACACCAAGATGGGGAGGAGACAGAAACATAAGACGTCTATAAAACAACATTCGGCACCAATTACTGGGCCTCTGTCCAGCCATGGAGCTGTTGTGGGTCTGGGCTTTAGTATAACGTTTGACTGGTCTTCTCCACCCACTTGATGACTCCCCTTCCAACATTATATACTCCAAGCTGACCAAGAAGGTGGCTTCAGGCAACTTCGGAGCTCAATGACATTCTCCATGTGTCCCCCAAGCGTAGAAGAGACATGAAAATACGTTGCAACTGCAACACTTGTTCCAAAACCCAAAGACAGCGGGCACTGCGAAAGGTAATGAGAGGAACCAGGGAAGGTCCTACCGCGGGTAACCTGCAGCAGGTAAATACATAGAAGCCACGCCGGTACCAAGGAGTCTTTAGAGGACCAAATGGAAGACTCACCTTGTCTGTGATCTCTTTGAGGGACGGATACAAGACTTCCTTGGACAGCAGGCTCTGCATGATGTTCTGCATGAACGGCAAGATATTTCCTTCTCCGTCCTCGTCGACTCCGAGACCATCCATCGCCCGAGCCAGCTCCTCCTCTGACAGGGTGGGGTTCTGAGAAGAGAACAAGAGATTTATCTACAGGAGAAATTATATTTTTAGACATCACGCCCCATAGAAACTCTGGAGACCTGCGTTCCCTTAAAGGACCCCCCTGTGATCAACTGCGGGAGGTCGGTCTGTGATTCATAGCATGGCTGGCCATGAGTATATCTGGATTTCCATATGGAAGTAACAGATTTACCCATTCATAGACTTCATGATCCATCTTTAGATGGTATTGATGTTCTTTTATATAAATAAGGTAGACCTAGCCCCACCACCCCATATCTCCTGAAGAAGCTGATCTTTTTAGAAGAGGCAGATCAGAAAAAGATGTCAAGAGTACATTGGAGTTAAGTCATTGTTCCCAGTGTAGGCATCAACATGCCAAGAGGGGGCTAGTTTGAACCCATTAGATGACCCACAAATGAGGTGGGAAAAGGAACTCCACATGTTCCTTCTCAGATGCATGGAAGACCTCATTGCCACTATTTTTCATAGAGGAGAACCATGCCAATGCACATGGTTCTATTGGACGTATTTTACTCACTCTAAAGAATACAGGTCCCAGACCTTGGACTCAGGATTTGGGTTTTCGGGGGAGGGAAAGTCCGGAGTAGAGTCCCCCGACCCCTCTCAGGACTTTCCCTCCACCGAAAACCCAAAGAGTAAAATACGTTCAATAGAACCATGGTTCTATAAAAAAAAAAATGGAGGTCTTCCAAGAATGTGAGAAGAAATCAGGAGAACTTGTTGAATTATCCTCCCACCACTCCAGGAATCGGCATCTTCTCATGGATATAGAGCTTGACACAACATATACAATAAATATAATTTATAGTATTAGAGACAGCTGAACAGCAGTTTGGTTGAGGCCCTCTATGGAGGTCTTATGCCAAGCTGTACCTTGATGATACCACCAAACCCGCTTTATATGAATATCTGCAGGATACATGAACTTCCATATTGAAGATTGACTGACAGCTCCGGGTCATGTTAGAATGAGGTCTTCAAATACAGGAAATGAGTGTTGGTATTGTGTACGATGCCTTGGCAGGTTGTAGAAGGAACAGGTGTCCCCATTAGAACATTATCCTCACCTTCCCTTCTGTAGAATTGTATTAGGTCATTGTGGAAAGTCGGCATCTTACCTGCAAGTCATTGGCATTCTTGGCCAATCCAGATAATGTCTCTTTCAGGCAGGAAGTAAACTCTTGCTGGGAGGTTTCATCACTTCCTGTCAGATGAAGAAAGAAGATCATTTGTATCAGAGTCATCTCTATGGAGAATAATTTAATAGCTCTACCTTCCTGACTGAAATGCGGCAAGGAGCAATCTGTAGTATCTATAATTACCCCCCACCCCCTCCCAGCAATCCAATTGGCAGCTAGTGAGAACTAGATTATCGGAGAAGGTTACCTAATCTTCCACACCTGGAAGCACCAAGCATTTTGCATCAACTACAACAGAGGAAGTACTGGCAGGGGAGTGCTAGAGAGGCGAGTATCAGGTTTTGTTTTTTGGTGGGGGGGGAGGCTTTACACAGAAGGAGCATTGACAGTATCCCTTTAAGGTGCCAGAAGTATTAATTGTATTTTCCAATGCTGGTTTTGATATGATTAACTAACGGAGCCAACCAGCGGCTTCAAGGCTTGGAGCCAACCAGCGGCTTCAAGGCATGGAGCCAACCAGCGGCTTCAAGGCTTGGAGCCAACCAGCGGCTTCAAGGCTTGGAGCCAACCAGCGGCTTCAAGGCTTTGGCTTGGACCCAACCAGCGGCTTGGACCCAACTCATGGGTTTGAGGTATTCAATAGTTTGGAGCTAATCAATGTCTTGAATATGATTGAAGCTGCACGGGGAAATGACAGCCAGACAAGAAAAGAGTGAACCTCAATGGCTGCTACGGGGCAAGAGTGATCCCAATCATTTTGGATGTTTTGATAAAAAAAAATCTGAACTGCATCATCCCCTTCCTGTCCATAGAAAGCGAACTGAAGACAGAGTTCCCTGGAAGGAGGACTTTAGGACTGTTTTAGGACCTGCTTTGCTCACTCTGCCCCCTCGCCCTCCAGATGGAAGGCAAGTCTCACATTCTTCAGGATGGTTGGTACCCACCGACTTTTTCAGCAACTTCAGACAGCTTTTGGAACTGCTCCACCAGATGGGGTTCCTCCTCGGCCAGCTCCTTCATGGCCTTCTCAAACTCTTCCGAAGCCTGGGCAGCCAACTCGCTGCTGAACAGCTCCTGAAAGAACTGCTCCTGAGACGCCAACATGGGATCCTGTGAAGACAAAAAGGGCCTTGGTTAGGGTGACACCACGGGAGCACTTTCTACTCCAGAGAAACAAAGCCATTAGTCCAGAAGAACACGCATGTCCTCTGTACCTTCACATCTGCCACACGGGCTGTACTGGACCAATGTGTACCCGTGCAGTCTATTAGCTCACTGAGAACCAATGAAATCAATATGCTGTGGCAGCCATATTGGTCCCCAGTCCTGCCCTTCAGTCCCGGCACAGAGCCATCCGAGGGACGAAACACGACCAAAGTGACCCAACTGCTGTATTTTGGCCTACAGAGCCGTCTGTGCACTGAGAGAGGCAAACATGGCCGCCACCTACCTTAGCAGCATCCGCAGGCGGCCTTTCCGGACCGGAGGGTTTTGTAGTCTTGTCCGCGGGCGGAGGAGGTTGGCTGGTCTTCTCGAAATCACCCAGCGCACCTGTCAGAGAAAGAAAGTGAAGTGACTCCAAATCTAAATCTAATGCAAGAGGAGCTCAGGAATAGAACCAGAAATCAGAATATTAATCACCACGCGTAAACGCCTCCTTTTTATTGGGTCCTTGCTTGTTTTAATGTTTCCCGAGCTTTAGGATCGCTTTATCTTAAAATGTGCGACACCTTCTGGGTCTGCAATGACTGTTCACAGCCCGCCTCCTGAGACCTGCCTGTATCTAATCACTACTCTAGTGCATTGGGTCTGTAGAAGGTAGGGCATTATTACAGGTCTACCTATAGATACCAATGGTAAACAAAGCAATCTGGGAGGATGTGCTGTGTAGTCCTCGGGTGAAGCTCCAAGTAAATAAATCACCGACAGTGAGATGTGTTCACAGATAAACCTGAGAGCAGCTCATAGGACTCGGGGCAAAGGTCAAAGGTTAGGACTCCAGTACGCCAGGGAACAGTAAGGTTGTTCTAACCTGAAAATTAACCCCTTCGTGACAAGGGGTTAAATAAAACTGTCCCCATGTGGGTGGTCACCGATCACCGAGAAGGTAGCGGAGTCACGCCAGCTATGTACAACGCACAAATGTATTTTCAAAGGTTGTCACGTCATTACACATTGTGACCACTAGATGGAGCCGAGGGAGCACAGGGAATTATATATTTACCTCCAATGGCCACTAGATGGCGCTGAGGAACACTGGAGGTATAAATATATTCCCTGTGCTCCCTCAGCTCCATCTAGTGGCCATACTTAGATATTACAGCTAAACAACTAATGAGCTTTCGTTTTGGCACATATCTGCACAGAACGAACGCTCACAGATATTCGCAGGGGACACGGCCCTGCAGATAAATAGATCTCCGTGATGTACACGGATCCTAAGCGTGCATTCTGCCCTTTAACCCTCAAATTCAGTTAAAATATCAAACAACAGTCCATTCTGGTCATAGACTTGGGAATCGTATTACAATGTTAGCAGAGATGTATGTGCTGCGATGGGACTGCAATCTCAAGAATGGTATCAGCCTTGCCTGCTGGACTACAGAGTTCCATCCACTGGCACAACAATAGCCATAGGTAGCCCAGGAGGCGGCTATGGGGAAGCTGTACAGGAACAGTAAACTGTGGCAGTGTAGAGGGACTTTTAAGGCTTAGCACATGTTAGGATCAGTACATACGATCGGGCTAGTGTAAAAAGGAAAGTTATATCATTTCACCCAGTATGCCGATGCCGCAGCCAATCAGCAGGCAGGAATCCTTAAAGAGCCGGGTTGTGCGTTACACGGCATTCAAGCAACGCATTGCTTGGCTGAAGACAAACTCGTTTGCTACCTGTTGCTGCCACCCTAGTGCTCCCTGAGCTTCCTGCGTCACCTGGCGACCACAGAGCTCCCCGTCACCCGGCGATCCCTGAGCTTCCTGCGTCAACC